GAAATACATGTGCTACATCTTACTTTTCTGTTTCACAAAGTTTTTGAAAGGACAAGGGGTCCTTTGGGTCGTGTGCTATGGCTCAAGGATCAGCAATAGCAAACTTCAGTTGTGGAAACCAAGTTGTATGAGAACCATAGAAGTTTTCTACGTTCCTAAAGTGCCTTAGAGATGTGACTGAATTTCCTTACTGTGTGCTGCAGGGCTTGTGCTGACCCGTGTGGTCTCCTCTTTACAGCAGGGCAGAGGGATCCTGGGAGGCTGGGCTCAGGTGTGGGCTGTTCACTGTGAAATCCACAGAAAACTACAGTAAGAACCAGCTTTTCAATTACTTCAAAACTGACTCAGGAGGCCTTTGGAGGACCAAGGCCTATGCACATCAGACGCCGCGATCTGGGAAGGTGAGTCTGGGAGTGAGAAAAGGACAGGGACAGTAACGTGTGGGCTGGCAGCCTCTTCCCTGGAGTTGCAGCTGGGCAGCTAGTCTAAGTGAATGGAGGACTTCATCCTACAGCATGCACTGCAGCTGATCACACGTGGCCAGTGATACTAACATAGTGCGAGGAGAGCCTCTCTGCACTAACCACCTTTCTTTTCATGTAACATGAATTATTTTCTCATTTCTTAGAACTTCCCTTTAAAGCTCATAAACCATCCGAGTATCTTCCGAATGTGTAGTCTGTGGTTTCCTGAACTGCACATTTCAGTGCCAAATCAGGTTCTTTCTGCATTTGCAGAATCTGTATTTGAATGATGGACCAATCTGTTGGTCTAATCAGTTCACTGATTGAAGCTACCCACACCTACCCTGTCTAGGACACAGGTCCAGGCACTCCCAGGAGGCTGCTGTTCAACTGGGTCAATGCAGTCTTAGGGTTAGGACATGAGTCCTTTGGTCTCTAAACCCCTACCTCCTTGTTCAAGCTCCTATGTGTTTGAGTGTTTGTGACCAGTAGCAAGTAGTGAAAGCCCTCATCTAAATGACTTTAAAGGAGCTGTCCTCATCCTGGTCAGTATTAATGATAGTAAAGAAAGTTTTTGCCCTGTGTCTGTCATGGGGAATTTGGTCTTAAGAATGCCACTGGTGAGTAGCCACCCTCAACACCGGCCTCCTTCATGCCTTTTTAAGGGTCATCAAAGGCTAGCATGATCCCATGTTCAGGACAGGCATCTGCAGAGCTCCTGAAACACAGAAGGACCTGTCTGACCACTGAAATGGAAGGGAAGGAGGTTGCAAACCAAGCTCTGTCTGTTCAGACCTGCTATGCTGCCGTATTTGTGGCTTCTCTGGAGGTAGGCAGGAGAGCTGGGTTTACATAACATACAGATCTAAGGAAATGACCTGAGAGGACATGGGCAGAGTAGGAGCCTTTATCTTTTTTACATGTGCACGTGTAGTGCACGTGTGTGCGTGCTCATCAAATGCATGCCATAGTGTATGTGTAGAGGTCAGAGGGTAACTTGGAATCAGTACTCACCTCTGCGACATGGGTCCAGGGGATTGAACTTCAGTTTGGCGGCAAGTACTTTTAGGTGCTGAGCCATCTTGAAGGTGGAAGAGAGCACAGGTTACAGTACTTTGAAAAAGTGACCTCGCTTCATTTTGAGTGACCCCAACAGAACTTGGAACCCTGCTAACCAGGCACCAAGTTCTAGAGACAGATCCTCACCCAGCTCACTGGATGGGAGATCCTCCAAAGGGCAGGACGTCCTGCTGTCCTGATCTCAAGTTCCTGCCTCAAGAAGCTGAGAGAGCCTCCTCTTACTCCAACATCAGCTTGGCCCTCAGAACATGACCAGCCAGACAAGAGACACCACAGGCAGCCTGCTTCCCGAGTGCCCAGTGTGTCCTCCCCTCCCAGGGGGAAGCAGCATGAAGTATCTTCCCATATGGGGGCAGTTGTTACCTGTCCAAGCCAAGAGTCTGCAGTGATCACACCCTAGCCAAGTATTCCAACAATGTTCTATGAGTTTGTTGGTTTCTTTTAAATATTTTATATGTGGCATATTTAAAATAGAAAGGATCATGAAAATCTAGGGAGAGTAAAATCTAAGGAACTTGATATTATTTTCCTTTTTTTCATGTCACAAATTTACAAATCTAGAAATGTTGATTCTCTTTTGAAAAATATTTTATTATTTTTATTTTAGGTGTATGAGTGTATTGCCTGCATATAAGTGCACCCATATCATGCAATACCTGCAGAGGTCAGAAGGGATCATTGGATCCCCTGGAACTAGAGTTAACAGACGGTTGCTAGCTGCCAAGTGGAAACCGAACCCAGGTCCTCTGTGAGAGCATCCAGTGCTCTTAACAGCTGAACCATCTCTCCAGCCCCTGGCCCCTTTTCTTCAGAAACTTTTTTTTAAATATTATTTTTATTTTATGTGTACAAGTATATTGCCTTGCATGTATGTGAGTGCACCCATGTCATGCAATACTGTGGAGGTCAGAAGAGGATGTCAGATTTCCCTGGAACTAGAGTTAAGGACAGTTCGTAGCTCCCATGTGGGTGCTGGGAATCAAACCCGGGCCCTCTGCAAGAGCAGTCAGTGCTCTTAACCACTGAACCATCTCTCCAGGCCCCTCTTCAGAAACTTTTTAGAGCATCTGGAATTTATTTTCTCCCAAATATGAGTAAATTTGGGGGACTGGAGAGATAGCTCAATGATAAAGAGCCATCTGGTGGCTAACAACCATCTGTAACTCCAGTTCCAGGGGACCTGATACCCTCTTCTGGTCTCCATAGGCATTGCACACACAGGTGCACTTACATGTGGGCAAACCCTCATATAT